GTCTCCGAAACGCTGTGTTTTGAAAAATAAACAGGGCGGTTTTTTAGAAAACAGACAGGACGATGGATAATGCCCAAAAACATAATACTTGTAGCATTTGTATTGATATGTTTTGTCTGTTTTCAATCATGGATATTCAGTTACATATGTCTTATTTACTTAGCCTTTATATATACCTATACGAGATATTTTATATTCGCTTTTCTAATGCTAGTGACAGAAATGTCGTTATGAAGGACTATGTACAGACTATTGTTAAAGTACGGGAACAGGAAATCTACAATTTATCCTTTTGCAATATGGCCGCGTTTTGAAACAGCTGCCGCATGCAACATATCTAACACTGGCATATCCACTTGCTTTTTGATATATGTTATTGCTTGAAGCACTTATATAATAGTATTTCTCTTTTCTTGCTTTTCTTTTTCCTTCGTTCTTGAATGCCTTCTCTTCTGAATCTTCTTCCTGATGACTCCGCTTTTCATCGTTTGTGTCTATGTGAGTGAGACAGAAAATCGAAATCTCTATCTTTCATCCCCCCTATAGTTTTATTAGTCCTTTTCTTTTTTCTTCCATCCTTTTTCTACCCTTTTTTACTTTTCCTTTCATCATTCTAGCCACTGTTGTTCTGTTCTAAACATCAAATGATGGAGAACTTATATTTTTGTTGTTTAAAATTTAAAATTTCCTGACTTATATTTCAGGATTTGAACAGTTGTGTAGGCCGCACACCGGCATGCTTCAAGACATGTAACAGTAAAGACACGATGTCTGCGACATGACGCAAAGAAAGGAGCACAGTTGAAACGATTGAGATTATGAAAACCGCCGCACACCGGTCTGAGTCATGATGCTAACGTCAGCTCCATGCCGATGAATCACGAATGAAGCAAGACTGCGTCTTTTGTCTCATGTCTTGATGCTTGTCTTGATGCAGTTGGTGTGCGGCCGCCCTTAGATCTCAGCAGGTAGGTCTGAAGTAAATTAAAATACAAGGTTAGAATTTTACATTTTATGAGGTAAATATTTCTCTTATAGCTATAAATATTAGCCTTATTCTTAACCTGTAAAATGCCCCATGTGAATTTTTAATGTGCACTGTTAATCGATCAATCGACTAATGTTGCAAATATCCAATCAACATTCTCCTACTTCAAGCGTAAGCAGTAAAAACATTTATCAGATTCGAATTAAATTCCTTCGTGTTTTAAACCAATTATTTACGCAATTCGCTTTCATTCTTGTCAGAATCCGTCTGCATACAATTAATTTGAGGACTTTATGGCTGTAATTTGATTGCGTAACATTCATTGCCGGTAGTATGGACAACTGCATATTGGGTAATGATTTATATCTTCTGTCCGTTAAGATAAAATATGACATAAGCAAAAAAGACTGTGTAACCAAACCGTTAATTAGAAAAATGCCTGTGGGGAGTGCTCATAGCACAGTTTTTCCTATTATCTCCCAGAGCGTTATTTAATGGAACTTCCAATTATTTTACAATATCCAGACAGTAAGTTTAGATTCTTACTCATCCCCATACATTATTCTAGCTTGGAAAAGAACATTTATATCTCGACAACATTAATACATTTGTCCCATCTCTTAACCAATGCTTCGATACCCACAGTATAGAAGTCTTTTGACTGTTGTCTCATCTACTTCCGCACCTTGTCGAACATCATCTGTTACTTTCGAACGCCCTTGAGAGAATTTCTCGATCAAGTTAAAAACAGGTTTAGGCGACAAACACTTCCCACTACAAACATGAAATATTTCTTATGAACATCCATTGGATCCAGTCTTGTGCCCAGAAAAAATGTACAAGAAAATTCAGCTCTTCTGTAGTACACTCCTCAACACCGTCACCGTTTTGACTATTGAAATCAGCCTCTGGGCATGCGCATGCGCATCTACTACATAGACTGTCATGCAGCTGGACTCTGCTGCTACCTAACAATACATATAGAAAAACTAGTACGTCTATTACTTATGTTTTGCTTCGATTTGTGACCTATTTACTGACTCTCCCTCGTATCTATATTCCATAAATTCTGTTATTTATGGCGTTTCAATTCAATTCCAAAGAATGCATCCCTCAGTCCTTCTGCTGCTACACATTTCTGCTGATATTAATTTCCTCTTTACTTTTTCTTTTTTCCATAATTCAACTCGGCCCAGCAAGCGTCTCATAAATTTATATACGTATATTATTAGAAACGAATGATTGTTTAAAGATCTGATTCTCAGTCTTTGACAATCCATTAAAGCAACAGAGGTTTCCACCGTCTGGTTGTCAGCCGAGCGACAGAGTAGTAGTAGTAGTAGTAGTAGTAGTAGTAGTAGTAGTAGTAGTAGTAGTAGTAGTAGTAGTAGTAGTAGTAGTAGGGCTGCTGCAGTTGAGCTTCTGTGAATGCTTGTCAATACAATACAAATCTTAATAAATGAATGAACGAATTAAGATCAGATCTCAGAACCGTACCTGATATATATAACTGATTGAAACACAGCTCTCGAAAGCTAATAGTCACTCAGTTTATCAGGAATTTATTCGTACTTTATTGAAGTCCAAGGTTCGTCACAGTGTTCACAACAGCCCATCACTAGACCTTAACTTGGGCTAGATAAATCAGATCACCAGATTCATATGTTACCAACTTAAGGATTATTTTAATATTGCCTTCGCATTTACTTCCAGGTCTTTTTAACGTAACTTCTATTTACGGTTTATGACTAAATAATTGTATACATTTGACGTAGTTAAGTGCATCCTGTATGCTTTGTTGATCTCCCCTTGACTTAATTCCGCAAGCTTATCCGACATAAGTACAGAATTCATTATATTCTGAGTGGAGTGTGAATTAAAACCGAATTAATGAACTTTATTAACATACGTGAAAAAGTACAATTCCATCAAGAACAGTTAGTTTAATAATTAAATAAACGAAGTGTTCAGTCTGTCACAACATATTCAGATATACTGTCTTACAGGTAGACACACGTCGTCGAATTACAGGAACCAATGAAATTGTAGGTTGTCAATTTTAGAAACTTCTTTTATAAACTCAACGCGGCCATTTTGATTTATGTGAAACTTTATTATTATTAGCTACTGAGCTTCGATATTCACACTTGTCGCTATTTCCTTCAATGATACTGCAGTAACAATTACTGTAATGTATTTTCTAAAATATATCCCAGTGTCGTTCATTGAAAATCAACTGATGTTTCGGAGGAATATGTCTCCTCCATTTTCAAGGTCGAAGAGTAAGTCTAGCAAAATATCAGCGTGAATGCTGAATCCCAGGAGATAGAAATCTTCATAACCACCGCTGTGATAACCTCAAATCCTGCATATATGGCTCATTATATTAATTTCCTTCTGATGATGGTCACTAGTGACCGCAATACGTAAGGCTTAATTTTGTTCTATTACTGAAATAGTTATAACAGATGGAATTCTACTTTCTTGTATATTAACACACTGTAAAGGCCAAAATGTCTTATACTTGTGTGTTTAGGTAGCAAAGAGGAGGACAGGCGATTCTGAACTCAACGGTGACACTCTCCGAAAATAATCAGCTTGGCTTTTCCTCATGAATGGCTCTTTTGATTTGTTAATATTGTTACCAAAGAAAACTGCATAATGAGGAGCTTCATAACGTGTACTGGTCTCCAAGTATAATTAGAATGATCAAGTTAAGGAGGATGAGGTGGGCAGGGCATGTAACACGAATGGGAAGACGAGGAATGTATGTAGGATACTGGTGGGAAAGCCAGAAGGAAAGAGACCACTCGGAAGACCAAGGCGTACGTGGGGGGACAATATTAAAATGGATCTCAGAGAGATAGGATGAGATGGTATGGATTGGATTGATCTAGTTCAAGATAGGGAACAATGGAGGGCTCTTGTGAATATGGTAATGAACCTTCGTGTTTCATAAAATCCTGGGAAGTTCTTGAGTAGCTGCAGAATTAGGGGCTACTCAAGAAGGGCTCGGCTCCATGAGTAAGTAAGTATTGTTACCAAATATCTGACTTTTCCATATTTTCAAAGGAACTATTTTTTGTCTTGTCCTTGCCGACTAGACATGAACTCGTGCTTTTTGCTCTATGGTCTCCTTATTAGCATCTAATGCAACATCTGTCTTCTCTTTAGGATATGTGTGTTCTTCCCGAATTTTATGCAACCTGAAAGCTCATTGCCATTCTTATAAGAAGCTGCCTCGGTCTCCTTTCGTGAGATAAGTTTTCAGAACATATTCCTGTTTAGAATATATTTCAATATGGTAAAACTTCATACTTCTGAAATGTCTTTTTTCAGGACCTTTTCGTACAGCTTCGCTTTATGCCTGTAGATTCAGTACGTTGTGAACTAACGTTAAAGGTTCGACCACACAGAGCGCTACGTACGCTATGTTCGCTATACAAACAGAAAAATATCTCCCTTTATTGCCAATGTGACTGACCACACAGACTTCCGTACGCTACGTACGCTATGTTCCCTATGTTAGCTGCGTCGCAGAGTGTACACAACGTATGTAGCGAACATAGCGGGCATAGCGTAGCGCTCTGTGTGGCCGAACCGTAAGACAGGCATGGAAGACCATGAGTCGTAGCATTTTACTCTGTACGAACCAGACATCTTGTAACGAAATGAGTGCAGTTAATATCTTTAATTGGTCCCGTTACGTCCCAGAGATCAGATAAGGAACCTTCTACTTTTTTTACATTTATTTCGATCGTCAGATAATGAATATTTAGAAACAGGCCTACTTTACTACGTCGGAATTCGATTCTTTATGGCTATGTAAAGCATTTTTGTTGTTTCTTTCTATTCGTTATATTGTCTTGTAGTTTTATTGCATTCAGAATGATGCAAAGAATACCTGGACGTTTCCATTGCCGAGAAAATGAGTGTGTTCCTTGAGTTATTATAATAGAAGAGCTTTCATTGTTTCTGCATTCTTTAATTATTTTTTGTGCAGTCCACGATAATGGCTGCTCGAGTCGTCGTTGATGTTGAAACAGTCCTCGTGCTGCCATCTAGGGAGAACGCGTAGAATTATTTGATATTCTGCAGGTGTAGGCTGTCAGATGTTATTGATATGGACCAGTTATCTCATCAAACCGTCTAGCCTGCTGGGTACTGTGGGACCTATATACTGCTGTGATGGTAATCGGATAGAAAGGATTGTAGCAATTAATTTAGGGTTGTAGTCACCAGTTATCACTCTCGCAGACTACATTTGCATTTGCCGCTCCTAAATTTTTATGAAAACTTCGTTATGTCCACATATATATATATTCTTCTGCGTTATTTTTAAAATGCGCTTTACTTTCTGTCAATATCTATGTATAGAGAGATGTACAGATACGTATATAGCGTGAAATACTCTTACCTCTGAGAATCGAACTAGTGCTTTATTTTTACCGATATTATGCAACAATATCAGTAGTTCTAGTGGTAGCAGTAGTAGCAGTAGTAATGTTGGTGGTAGTGATGGTAGTAGTAGTAGCACCAAAAGTGTTACTAGTGGCAGTGGTACAGTGGTAGTAGTAGTACCATCAGAAGTGTTACTAGTGGCAGTGGTAGTATTAGCAGTACTGCTAGTGGTGGTGGTGGTTATGGTAGTGGTAGTACTACTACTACTACTACTAGTAGTAGTAGCAGCAGCAGAAGTGTTACTAGTGGCAATGGTAGTAGTAGCAGTAATGCTAGTGGTGGTGGTGGTTATGGTAGTGGTACTACTACTACTACTAGTAGTAGTAGTAGCAGCAGAAGTGTTACTAGTGGCAATGGTAGTAGTAGCAGTAATGCTAGTGGTGGTGGTGGTTATGGTAGTGGTAGTACTACTACTACTACTAGTAGTAGTAGTAGTAGCAGCAGAAGTGTTACTAGTGGCAATGGTAGTAGTAGCAGTAATGCTAGTGGTGGTGGTGGTTATGGTAGTGGTAGTACTACTACTACTACTAGTAGTAGTAGTAGTAGCAGAAGTGATGCTAGTGGCAATGGTAGTAGTAGTAGTAGTAATACTAGCGGCAGAAGTGTTGCTAGTGGCAGTGGTAGAAGTAGCAGTAATGCTAGTGGTGGTGGTAGTAGTATTGATTTTTAATATACAAGTCAGACGTTGACTATCATCAAATCATAGTAATGAACATGACGGTATGGACGTTGCGATACGATTCGTTCTCCTGTAAGATAGGTTAGTCCTTCTTTTGATTTTGCAGGGTCTGTTCTTCGGAAAAAGACATTGCTTTAGTTTTCTTTGTTAACTTAAACAGTGATTTTTGAAACTTCATTTTTAACGATAAGGAACCAACTTCTATCGGCTGAACAGCAATAATGTAGGCATATTTTCTAATTATTTTCTCTACAGTGCTTTAAATCTTGCACAACTACCTACCACCATAATAGGTTATATCTTAATATTGTGGCATGACGCCTGAAAGCCAGAGTATAAGTTCATTGCTAGGCAACGACTCTGTAAAGAGGTTCCCCCAGCAACGAATACGTAAGCAAGAATCGAAGTACTGTTGTGCTATAACGATTGAAACGGTGTTTTCTATTGGGTCCGTCCAGAGATTATATAACTAGAATCCCAGGCCAACTGGAAGAAAACTCGTCTGGAGGCGGGGTCGAATACCTCCACCGTGACCCTTCGAGTCGTAGGAGGCGACGAAAAGGGAAGTCTCATATCTGAGACAGTAAAATATTGTCGCGAGTCCCAAGGGAATCGGACCGGAGAAAGACTGCACTGCAAGAGCCAGAAGCATATACAAAAGACAGGCTCGTCCTCTCGTCAAAGAGGGCGCCCAACATAAACAAGACCGTAACTGTCAGACAGTAATAAACATCTGGTCATGAGCCCCAGATGGGGCTCGATACCAAGACTTACTGAGTGACTGACCGTTAGTCGCAATGTGACTTTGACTTTGAACTGGAAGAAGAATTGAGGAAGTCACTTCAGATGCCAGTCGAAGATGACTGAGAAGAGGTGGCAAGAAAGGAATTAGGCTGTTCACGTGTGCTGCAGTTGCAGTGGGAATGGTATAGTTAATGTGTTGAAACCCGTTGCCAAGATATGGCTGTGTAGATCAGCGATAGCGCTGTATTAAGTGTAGTTTCCAGTAGTGTGTGCAGCTGATCAATAGATCCAATCATCCAATTCAAAACCCGTCTAATATTCACACACCCCATAACACGTGACAGTATTTATTTCCAGGTTTAACGCAATTTCCATGGAAGTTTCAACGGCTGAATGGTTATTTTCATACTGTCATAGAGAGCAAGAAACATAAAACGGTAGCATGGCTTTATAATTTTACAGACAGAATAAATACAACTTCTAGCCTATGTAACACAGTAAATTCTGAAGTCCTGCATTGATTCTGTTCTCTCAGTCTTGATAATTTATGCATACAGAATGACGTGATAAAAATTACACAACAAATTTCAATCGGTAACCCCGAAGGGAAGAAACCACTTGGGAAATCAAGGCTTAGGGGAGAGGACAACATTATAGTTGGTTGAGGCAATATGCTACAAGCCAGAAGGTCGCGGGTTCAAGTCCCGATGAGGTCATTGGATTTCTTTCAGTTGACCTAATCCTTCCAGCTGCACTATGGCCCTAGGGTCGACTCAGCCTCTAACAAAAATGAATAACAGTAATCAATTAAATAATTTTCCTGGGGGGTTAAGCGCGGCCAGCGCGTAAGGCTGACAACCTTACAGCCATCTTTGAGCCGATTGTGTAGAAAATGTGGGAACCTCAACATCTCACAACCCTATGGGCCTTCACGGCCTGTTACAAGGATAGCTTTATTTACTTTACTTACTTTACGTATAATAAGTAATTATGATGTAGGGACTGGATTCATGTGGCTCAGGATATGAACCAGCGCCAGATTCTTGTGAACATAGAAATAATCCTTCGGTCTGCATAAAATTCGATGAATTTATTGACCGTCTGAGCGCATAGTACCCTCTCGAAGGCTCTTTGCTTGATGGACTATTTTATTTACATTTACTCCTTTCTTTTCCTTACATATTTTTGGATATGTTATCAATAATATTACGAAGAATCCTGAACAGTAATGGTACATGATAAGGCATACGGCTCTCACTGCTGGACATGTTGAACTGTCTGGGAATTCTAGCAGAGATCTTGGCTTTCTGAGATCTCTTCGTATTGCATTAGTGTGCCGCTCTCTCTCTCCCTCCAAAATTATGGCAACCTACGTCTCAGTAGCGGGTCTACATCTTACGATTATGCCCTTATATTGTTTATGCCTTAAACTTGTGTCACAGTACCTGTAGTGGCAGTAGCAGTGGCTTGACTTTAAATAATCTTCATTTCCATAGAATCTTGAAAAATAGCCTCATCTTAAAATCTAGTTTATACACCAAGGAACTGGAACCGTCTCTGCTTCTTCAAAATGCAGCAGCTGGAGAAGTAACTTTGCCTCTCTGCTCCCTGGATGTTATCAATTAGCATGTAAATGGGGCCTGGCCTGACTATAAATTATGCATGGAGTTAGGCACTGCTGAGGTAGACAAGTTAGCTTTCAGGGATAGTCACATTTCTTTATTCGCTCGCTCTATCTCAGTCTTCTGTTCCTCACTGCACCTCCATGGGTATGGTTTCATTTTTTATTTCAGTCTTCATGTCTCTGTGAGTCTCTCTCTGCAACCTTCATCATGATATTTCTCGATGGAGCTTGTCGCTGCGCCAAGAAAAGGGAAGATCTGTAAAAGGAAATTACAAAACATAGTACTTATATACAATAACCTTAATCTATGATGAACAGGGTTAAAAGTTCTTTTTCCATACTGAGAATGAGAAGTATACTTAATAAATGTTTTATATCTCACTCAATGTGTTTCAGGTATAAATTCTTCTAAGTAATCAATACAAAATATCTCAAGTCTGCTTCAATGGAATAAATAGGTTTACGTTATGAGATTTTTTTCCCACACTCACTCAGTCATGGAGCTGATCACTTCTCGAGAAGTCGCCAATCGTGAAGTCACTCAAGAAATTCCCAGCATTTTATGGAAACCGAAGGTTCATTATCGTGTTCACAAGAACTCTCAACTGGCCCCTATCCTGAGCCAGATCACTCCAATCCATACCAGTTTATCCATTTTAAGCTCCATTTTAATATTATCCAACCACCGAAGTCTTGGTCTTCCTAGTGGTATCTTTCCTTCTGGCTTTACAACCAATATACTATATGCATTTCTCTTCTTCATCAATCGTGCTACATGCCCTGCCCATGTCATCCTCCTTTGCTTGGTCAGTCTAATTATACTCGGCAAAGAGTACAAGTTATGAAGCTCCTCATCATGTAGTTGTCTCCAACCTCCCGTTACTTCATCTCCCTTCGATCCAAATATTGTTTCTCAGGTTGTCCCCCAAAATAACTTCATACTAGTTTAATTTTTTCCTGCTTACAGTACATGTCTCTTGACGGCAAGAATTCTTATGGTCATATTTTCATTATTTGTAAATTTTGCCTGGATTATTGTACACAGGTTAGCTACATTCACATTCCTCTCTCTCTCTCTCTCTCTCTATATATATATATATATGAATGTTTTGAACCTGCTTACAATCTCCAAGAGGACACGAGGTAACGTAGTTGGTTGAGGCACTATGCCACAAGCAGGAAGGTCTCGGGTTCGATTCCCGAAGAGGTAATTGTTATTTTCAACTGACCTAATCCTTCGAGCCGCACTATGGCCCTGGATTCGACTAATCCTCTAACTGAAATGAGTACAAGAAATCTTCCTGGGGGTAAAGGACGGTGGGGCGCGTAAGGCTGAAACCTCACCGCCATCTGTGAGCGAGCCGATTTTATAGAAAATGTGTGAGCCTCGCCGTCTCACAACCCTATGGGCCTCAACGGCCTGTTAAAGGAGTAGCTTTACGTTATGTTTTTTAGTCTAGGGCACGCACGTTTCATGTGCACTTTTAACCTGAAAGGTCGACATAGCAAATTCATTACCTTACGGCGGCAGGTGTACGTAGTCTGCTAAATGCATTAAGAACAGGCTTAAGTCCTCTTCAATTCATCAGATTCGGTTAGATCTGATTTAGATGTAATCTTAATGGAAATTGAACATATATGAACGACAAGCGTAAATTTATTCGGGATTAGTAGTTTTTTTTACTTTGTTCACCATCCTGTATTTTAATAACACAAAAGAACATAACGTTTCGGAAACTATATATCTTTCCGTCCTCAGATGAGTGTTGGGAGACATCTACTATATATGGTCCACTAGAAATAGCTAACTTTTATCACTAAACTACTCCTAACGGTCCCAAGAGAGTAAGCGTCTCCCACTCCTCACCTGAGGACGGAAACATATATAGTCTCCGAAACGTTGTGTTCTTTTGTGTAATTTAGAATACCGGATGATTGACAGAGTAAAAGATCCTAGTAATCCCGAGTATTATACACCATCGTCAGAACCCTTTAAAATTTACTTGTACGTTTATTGTTTGCAAGTCAATTTTAAATATAATTTTTCTCACAAATGTCAGTTGTGCACAAGTGAGGGCGAATTGTTTTTGGGAAATTAGTGCTCATGTACTGGGACATGGGTAAATGGGCGTAACTCTCAGAGATCAAATAGAATTTCGATTAGATCGTTGCTTCGATCTAATCTGGCCTATAGCCCCTAAATTGGAGGTTAGTATTGAATACGTACCTGATAAGCTAACGGCGAAAATTCGGCAGTGCACTGCTGCCAACTTTTCGCTTGGAAGCAGGATAATATCCTCTCACTGCATAAAACTAACATGATATGAAGTGTTACACAGCACCTCGTGTAAGACGGATTTTTGGGTATATTAATCACCAAATAAAGTAGGGCTCAAAGAAATGTATACACACCATTCCCACGTCATTTTGTTTGACTGTCGTGCCATTCGACAAGGTGGTTCTGGCATTCATATGACTAGCACCATCTTTTGAGAGAATATCACACTACACACATTACACTTCCTTTCAACTTTGTGGCTATGTCCGTAGATAACCTCAATTAAAGTTTTGTGTACATTTTTGTGCCCCTCTGTATTTTGGGGGCAATGAAATCAAGAAAGTT